TAGTTTTAGTTTATATAAAAGGGACAAACTATACCTATTTAAATACTGTTGCTTTAAACCACAAATCACAGATTTTTAATCGAGCACTACTAGAAGGGCAGTTAAATGAGTATTTTCCAGTGACTTACTGGAACCTTTCTTCATTTAAGCCATTCTATTTATTTTAAGAAATTATATTCATGTGTAAAACATTTTTTCTCTGAAACGACTGTCCTTGCTTCTGTCTATTAAAAAATATGAGCCGATGTCGAAAAAAGATAGGAATAGTGTTAACATTTAACCATAGTCGTAAAGGTTGAGCCTCAATTTCATTTTTTACTTTATTTGTAATTAATTTTCGAAAAAATATTACCAAATTAACTTCATTATTTTAAAAATCTCCCGTGATCAGCTGTGAAGCGACAGACTGTCAGTTGGAAAAGCGCCGTTGCCAGTTTTAATCTCAGTTAGTTATTTGTTCTTTAGCTAACGAGAGATTTTAACAATCGTTCTTGCAACCGGCTGTTAAGTTGTTTGGTTTAATAATAGTATTCCTACATTCGTATATTAACAAGCCACTAACCCCCAGTAGGCGGCGATAGCCAACGAATTATACTTGAATTGTAATCGGACCCTTCAGCGTACGACACACAACATTGCCAAATTTATGTAGCGAACAAGGTTCCAAATACTTTAAGGGGAGGTCTTGAGATTCGTGCGGTGTGACGTCAGAAGGGACTGGATTGCTCTTAAGGCGATTACAGATTTGAGCACGTACGCGTATGAGGCAAGCCGAGGCCGAACCGAAATGCCTCGTACGACGCATTTTGTATACACGAATGGTAGACGCACGAGGCGCTGTTCGCCACTGATCCAGTAAATTCGCGAGCACGCAACCTTATACCCAGAAAATTCGTAAAATTAAAACAAAAATGAAGGATGAGGATGACGTCCCGGAGTTGAGGGCATGTTTTATTATTTTATCCGACACATTAAAGAAGAAAGGAGAGAAAGGAATCGATAGCCGATTTCCTGCCAAGGATATACTTTTTTTATGGTGTCGTAATAGAACTAGCGTTTTGCTCTCTTAAGATATCACGCTGATTATTTAAATCCAGAAGAAGCAAAACGTTTTCCTGGTTCCACTCCATGCAAAATAAATCCTAAAAACTCGCTATAATCTATACGGTGCTCTATGGTACAAATTCCCCGCCTAGAAGTAAGTGATCTGTGGCCTAGACTGAGCACGTATTGCGCATTGCCTCCCTTTGATGTACCGCCAACAAACGGATCGGGGCGAGGCCGTACGGCGCACACAACGAAGAAATTTGCGCTTCGGAAGCTCATGCGTCCTCAGCTTGCCTCATACGCGTACGTGCTCAGATCTGTACCCGCCTTTATACGCTGGTTTTTGATGAACTCAATTTATTTGCAAAACTCAAACTTGTACAATATATAAATATGAACATTATCGTACAACGTCTATTAACAAACTGAAACTCTGACGTCAGGATCAACGACTTATATAGCTCCCTTGAACCTTCTCGAAGCGTCCAGATCTTTCTTGACACGGAATGACATTACTAGACCGTTCTCTCTTCTTCTATTTGTTCTTTTACTTATGACGACCGCAGCACACTGTAGGGCGATGGGTGACATTGCACTACTTTTTTATTGGTACCTTTCCAATAACAGCCGCCGGCTAGTGCAGGGAGCAGGGTAGCAATATGAACTGTGATTGAATGTTTCATATTCATTTTATTTTGTTTGGGTAAATTACATACATTTAAAAGAAAGGCAGGACAATAGATAAAGAAATACAATACGTAATACGTAGGCCTGTATATCTTCTTTGGAACGTCATATTTGGTTCATTAATACGATTTTATTTTCACACTTACATTTTCAAGTTACAAGATGTAAAATGGCTTTCTTAGCTATAACAGAGAAATGTAACATCTGGTTTGTTATAAAGGCATTATTTTTAGGAACTTCCAATAACGTAACAAAAGGTAGCTGTACCTATAATATCAATGAAACGTTTAAAAAAAATAAAAAATAAGTTACAATATAACAATGTGATTAATAAACGGCTATTTGTGTATTAAGGACGGGGTATCCCTGTGTATTAAAAGTGTATGCGTTGACCAAAAGTTAAATCGACAGTTTTTCGAATATGTAGTGTTTAAAAATCTAATTTTTGGCCAAATTAAAAATAAAGGTCTAACTTAGGTCACCTTACTATTGAAAATTAATAAATTTATTATTTTCAATAAAAACCAATCATGTAAAATAACCCCCTTTTATTTCATCTCAAAGGTGCCGTGTAGAATTATTTTAACCTCGATGTCAAACAAATAATAAAAAAAAAATTTAATACCACCTAAGTTCAACCTTTACTTGGAATTTGGTACACTCAGAATATTTAAATATTGTATATTTTTGTGTAGATTTGAAATTTATGTCACTTTCTTTGAAAAAACATCTCAAAACGAATTTGGACCAAAAATGGCGTCTAATTTAACTCTAAATCAACCCCGAAAAATCAATAAGTACTTCATGTAATGTAATAAAGATGGTGCTCCGATCGATAATATTTTGACTAGTATTTGATTATTTCCGTTTATATTATGTGTGTTTACGGGGGATATACGAGATGATAATACTGCCTCTGATACTGTTTATATGATACAATTGGAAACGACCTTTTTTCATCGGCACTCTTTTTTCGCGGGTGACCTTTTGACACGCGCCTATTTGTTATATGATGTATGATTATCGGTTATTTATCAACTAAAAGTATAGGAAATTAGTACATTGTGAATGATAATATCATTTTAATGCTATTTTTGAAACTAGTTCAAAAGTTGCATTTAACGATACTCAATGTTTCATTTTACCGTCAGTTTTAGTTTGACATATCCGTCATTTTATGTTTACAATCTATACTATAAGTAACATACCATATATTATACCTGTTAAAATAAATCAAAAATAAGAGAACATATCGTTGACGCATATACTTTTCCATCTGTGATTAGTGATTACCAATTGCAAATTACGTATGAACATGCTTCTGCGCAAAAAAACCATTATTTCAAGTACTTGTATCATTAAAGTCCATTAAATTATTATTTTTATAAATTTGCTAATCTTTGCACTTTAAGTTTCATTATATGGGATATCCAGACATTTTACTCCTCGTCCTCTTCTATTTAAAATTATCTCAGGTGCCATATATTCCGAGTAAAATTTTTCCAATTCTTCAACCATATTTTGAAAAAAAATGGGTTGAAAATGAATTTTTTCAACAAATAGTGGATTTTCATCTCCAGTATATACTACAAAGTAGCACAATTTTTTTTGAGCTATACCTAGCTGTCCTTGAATCCAAAAGTATATAAAATCATTATTAGAAAATCAAACATAAAAAGAATATTAATATTGTAGTATCATTTCTAGCACATTTCTTAAAAATCATGAATTATTTTAACATATTGAAATTTTTCACCTGGTAAAAGTAGTTATGGTTTTCTTTTAAATGAATGTCACCATCTTCTATTTTTAAGCATGGAAATGGGTTTGAATATTAGGTAATGTGCGCCAATAATGTCAAATTATGACAATTCGCAGGAAACGTCAACTTTTTATTTAGATTTTAATGTGCAAAAGCCTACCTACTTTGGATATTGATCGTAGAAAAAATATATTCAGAATAATGAAACATTATTATTAAATAACAAGTTTTTTTATTGTCAAATTTAATACGTAATATTATTTTTTAATTGCAAATATTTGAATGTTAAAATTATAACGTTTAATTTTTTTATTCAATGACGAACTCGAGAGTGATAGAAAAAAAATATACTACCTACCTTTAATGCAGGAAGTCGATGTCAATTTATCCAAAAATAAAACTGATTAAAATGTATAGTGGACTGGTCATCTTGTCTCCAATTGTTCTACTTGCCTTACCTTGATATTATATCTACAAAACTACTGTAAGAAATTAAAGCATTTCATTTCAGAATTAAATTTATCCACTAGACTTTTATAAGTTTCGTCACTGGTCTCGGACTATGTTATGTATGAAGTGTGTCAGATACACTGCGACTTAAAAGATCTATTGTGTCCCTAAAGCCTTGGTTTCTTTGAACACTCCGTCGCAGTGAGCGGACAGTCCCGTCGACCGCTGAGGACAGCAATTTTCGCCCGATGTGGTTTGTTAAAAAATATAGAAAATTATCTTTCTCTATGTCTGTACGTGCTATTTATGTATTATGAATGTAAACGAAAGGTACTAAAATGGATGCAAATAAATTGTTTGCGTTGTTATTATTGTTGGAAGAGGAAGAACAAGAGGAACTGGCAATTGCAACCGTCAAAGTTTCCAATAAGCCAGTGGATGAGTTTTTTTTTGTGTCGCGATACAGAAGGTGCCTTTAATATCACTGTGCAGCGGAAACTTTTTGGAAATGAAACCAAATTTAGAGAGTATTTTAGACTTTCTACAGATCTTTTTGAATTCGTGTTGAGTTTTATAAAGGACATAATTTCCAAGAAACCTAAAAATAAAGTCATGATGTCATCTGTATGTGTGAATTTGTCACTCATTGTTTTAAAATTAATAACAATATAGTCTCCGCACACGCCGACGATTCCGCTGATATCAAACTCAACAGATATCAACCGACTCTTCGCAACAAATCAGCGGCATGATGCCGTCCTGCTCAGCTAAGCGGATTCAAGAAAACCATTCCCATTTAAATACGCTGGTTGGATAAAATCGTCAAAACGCGACGGTTGATGGACTGTCCGCTCAAAGAAACCAAGGCTTAAGGCAGCAAGGGAATAGTCTCGACGTCTATAACGACTTTTCTAATCCTATCTTACCAATGAAGTTTAGTCGCTCAGAAGCATATTAGCCTGTTCTACCCCCTCAAAGTAGATCTGAAAAGATCCTAAATTAAGTCATTTTAAATATAATCTATCCCCAAGAAATTAAACAAATTGTCGATTCATCTACTGTCTTAATTCGACTATAGCACTTGAACAATAAACAAAAATACAAAAATAAAACATATCTTTACTTTAAATCTTATTTACGATATTTCAGCATCAATCTTCTTTCTCGTTCATACTCCTTCATTCTCAAAATAAAATCTTCGTGTTGGCATTTAAGGTATTCGTGCTTTTCAGCCTTACAAACGGCAAAAGGCCAGTTGTCCTTTCTACAAACGCGAAACTTCATCAGAAGATGCGCGCAATAATCCCGGTCTTCCAGTGGTATTTTAGCTGATTTCAATTCATCTTCTGAGCAAGGCAAACACCTCATTTTGCGGCAAGTTATGAAACCGGAACAAGCATCAAAAGTTGGTTCCTTGGTAGGATCGGGAGTTACATCGGGATGCATAAACAAATTTATTCCGTTTTTAAATGGTTCAAGGCTGCTTCCCATTTTAGAAGATTTACAATTATTATTATTGAACTAACTATTCCTAGTTTCAAGAAGTTTCGATTTATAGGTGTCAAATGTAAATAATAAATAGTAGAATACTAATTAATCCTAGTGACACGTGAGATATATTTTTTAAAGCTGTGTTCAAAGGGTCGTTTGATCTATAACTCGATTGAGCGAGCGTAGAAGATACCTACCGAGAAGTGATGACGTCACAATAGACATTGATTCTTGTTTCTGATTTGTGTGTCAAAACAGTGACCAAAAAGTGAAGAAAATGGAAAACTTTTAATATTAAGGAGCAATGGTCCTAAAATACAGCATTTACCACAAATGCCCGCTTCGCTTTCAAACTCCATGACTGTGTCACAGCTTACCTTCGTCGCTCGTGGCCAAATTTCGAATATGTGGCCTTCTGCAACTTGTATTTTAATATAGTATTATATCATTCAAATGGAGCTAGTTTAAAAAAATTGCATTTATGCCCACCAAAACTGACTAAATAGCTCCACTAGCTCGAGTTTGACATATGTCGTAAAAGTGTAATGCAAAGTTTTTTTTGTGAAAAAACGTTTATTGATATTACAATCTGATCAAGAGTTGATCAATAAGTAATTTTGTTATAACCTAACTTAACTAGGGTTGCAATCTTAAAAACTAAAGTTATTTTTATCTTTATCGGTTGTAAGCAGGTAGGGTTAGGTTTGGCCCAGAACACTGTGGCCTCTTGGGTCTATTGTATTCCCTGCTTTCCCCGTATTCAGGTACTATCTTTGTAATAGTCATGTGTCTTTGGTTAGTTTTAATAGATTCCCTACCAAGTGTTCCTGGGGCGTTCTTTCCAGTTCTAGGCCGAAAAGAATGAAGCGTCGCCTAGTAGAGCTTCGCATTCGAAGATAACATGGTATGAGGTTTCTTCCTCTTCCATGCAGAGTCTACACGTAGTGAGATCATTAAGTAATCCCATCACATGAAGGTGTTTCAGCAAGCAGTGCCCCGTTAGTAATCCCACAATGGTGGATATCTGAGGCCTTGCGAGTTGTAGTGCTTCAGTAGCCATGCGTGGGTTTGGTCCCCTTAGCATGAGCTTACTGATTCTGTGTCCTCTTGTCTGTTGCCAGTGAATTTGGTGTTTTGTGGTAATCCACCTGGTCACTGCCTGTCGAGCAGAGGTTTTGCTTATCCCAAATACAGGTTCGGGTCTTCGAATACCTTTTTGCCCTGGTACCCACGCTGGTTTTACCTTGTTGTGGGTTGCCAGATCATTTAGTATTCCAAGGCAGTTCCAGACAAGCTTTGACTTGATTCTGTTTGAATCAAAAGCCTTTAAGGCTGCTTGGCTTTCTGAGAGGATGGTTTGTTTTTTGTACTTCCTTCTTATTCTACTCGCTGGTATACCTTAGGGTCTGATAACTTAATTACACTAAACTAACGTGTAACACTAAACCGCACAATGCTTTGTTTTGTTATTAACACTTGGCTAAACTCAAAAGGTTTCACTCTCTTGAGTTTTCTTGTCAGGTTCGTGTTGTCAAAAAGTTGGATCGCCTCAATGTTCACATGTTGGTCGAGCCGTTGTTCGTGACTCCTAGCGAATCTGATGATAGTCTGGTCAACAGTGTCCATCTGAAGGTCTCGATGAAAGTCGCTGTTTCTAATATACCAAGGAGCATTGACAATGTTCCTCAATACTTTGTTCTGGAATCTCTGGATTATTAGAATATTACTGTAGCTGGCACAACCCCAGAGCTGAATACCATAGGTCCAAATTGGTTTGAGAACTTGTTTATATAATAGAATTTTGTTATGTGTAGATAGGCTGGAATGTCCAGGGCCGACTAGAGGGGGGGGGGGCAGCCGGGACTAATTCCCGGAGCCCGGACTCAAATGGGGGCCCGGACTCAAATGGGAGCCCGGCAGCGGTATAAGGGGGGGCCCGTCAACTGGATTTTTGTTCGGAACAATACGAGAGGGGGAAGATTTTGGTTGTGGACTTTTTTTTTGTTTTTTTTTTTGTTTTTTTTTGTTTTTTTTTTTAGAAAATTCAATTCAACTAGAAGAGGAAGAAAAGTTTTTGCTTGAGGAGCTTTTTTTTAGAAAATTCAATTCACGTAGAAGTGGAAAAGTTTTTGTTTGAAGAGCTTTTTTTGTCACGGGGCCCGATCTAGAGAATTGTCCTGGGGCCCGGCCTGGCTCTCGGTGGCCCTGGGAATGCCTACCAAGTAACCAGTATATTTTCTTGAATTTTATATCTAACTCTTGTATTTTCTTTTTACCATGGACCTTCCAGCGAAGTCTTGCATCTAATGTAATACCTAGATATTTTGCCTAGTTAGCATAAGGGACCTACCTGAGCATTATTTATGTTAATTGGTATTCTTTGACCATTTTTGTTAGTAAAATTAATATTAACAGATTTGGTTTCGTTTAGTTTAATATGTCATCTTTTGGTCCATTTATTTATTTGATTATCTTATGTTTGTAGTTTATTTGCAGCCTCTTCATGATATTTGCCTATCGCTGGGATGGCAGTATCATCTGAAAATGTAGCTATTGTGTCTTGTTCTAGTTGGGGTATGTCACAAGTGTATAACAGATACAAAGTGGGTCCCAGGACGCTTTAATTTCTTTCAATTCAGAGTATGCTTCATCTTATTTTACTCTAAAGAATCTATCTGAAATGTATGAATCCAAAAGCTCTGAGTATGGCTGTGCAAGTAGTACATTGTTTATGTGTTAAGCCATCATGCCATACTTTATCAAAAGCCTGCGCAACATCGAGGAAGGTGGCTGAACAGACTTCTTTGTTTTCTAATGCTTTTTCAATCGCATTTGAGATTCTATGAAACTGATCTATAGTTTAATGGTTTTCTCTAAAGCCGAACTGGTAATCTGGAATAAGTTTCCTTTCTTCAATGATGGGTTTCAGTCTTTTTATTAGTATTTTTTCAAATAGTTTCGATATTATAGACCATAGAGATATTGGCCTATATGACGAAACTTCGGTCGGAGGTTTTTCTGGTTTGGGGATCATAATGACTTCAGCTACTCTTCACAATCTATAGGGACATAGCTTAGTTTGAATGAGGCATTAACTTTTCTTAGGATTAATATTTGTTTTTGTATCTTCTGCAATTTCCTTTGGAGAGGTTGGTCTGATAATTGAGTCATCTCTCTCTAGAGGAGCCCAGTAGTTCGGTAATTCTTCTCCTTCATTTGGTTTGAATGTGTTTTCTAAGTGTTCTGCGAATCTATTAACTTTTTGTATATTATTTCTAGCCATCTGTATTCCTGATTGGAGCATTCTGCACAGTGGGTCTTTTTAATCGCTTTGTGGCTCTCAATAGAGAATAATCAGTGGATTTATCGTTTGTCAACTCACCAAGGTACTCACAAATAGATTCATTTTTGATTCGTTTTATCTCTCTTTTTAACTGCTGGGTGGCGTTGTTAAGTTTGGTTTTATCTGATGGAGCTCTTAGTCTGATGCCATTTCCTCCTTAGTTTTCTTTTTGCAGAGATTTGGTCCCTTATTTCTTTAGGATAGTTATTTCCTGTTGTTCGCTGCATAATAGGTGGTGTATTATCCCATGCTGCTTGTTGTATATTGGACACAAGTTCTACTTATTCATCTAGCTGTGCTTTTGTTCTTAACGGAACTGAAATATTGATTTTGTTTTCAAGGTCCAGTCTGAAGTTTCTCCTATTTATTAGTCTAGGAGCGCTTTCCTTTTGGATAATGGTGTCACTAAGAGTGAGAAGAATGGGCGAATCATCTGATTTCAATGGATTTTTCCCATTGATCTGGCAACCTGGTTTTTTCGGATACCTACATACAAAACAACAAAAGAAATCTTACCACCTAAAGTACTTTGATAAGTTTTGATAAATTTTATATATTACGACATAGCTGGTAGGCATCTACTCTTTTAAACTTCGAGTCCTTTATTAGGCATTCCAACGACCTGTCAAACAATACCTGCCAGTGGAAGGTCTCGTATGTCTAAGGGGGTAGCGACGTAGTCTTACATTTCGGACGCTATTTTTATTTGAAATATCAGTCGTCAATTCTGCCAGTTTTTAAAAAAAATGTACAAGCAGTTTTTTTAATTAATATTTTTATAGTGTTCGATATAAAATTTTTAAATGTAATCCTTTATTCATGATTTTACGTATTGTAGATAGAATACATCGTATGTCGCAACCGTCAGATCTACCAAACCTGCCCACCTGGCAATTAGGCATTCCAAACAAATGAATTACCAGTGGGCAGGTTTGGTATATCTAAGGGTGGCGACATATGGTGTATTCTATCTACTTTACGTAAAATCATGAATAATGGATTACATTTAAATATTTTATGTCAAACACAATAAAAATAATATTTAAAAAACCCACCTATACATTTCTTCATAAATTGGCAGGCTTGGCGAATACTACTTCGAATAAAAATAGCGTCCAAGTTGCAAGACTATGTCGCTACCCCCTTAAATATACAAGAATTTCCCACTGGCACCTATTGTTTGACAGGTCGTTGGAATGCCTAATTCATTTGTTTGGAATGCCTAATTTTGCTATTTTCAATCCTTTTACCTTTTACTGCATTTGTTTTCAATAAAGTTTCTTCTTTTTAGCACAGTAGGCACTAGGTACCTACTTATCTTCTTAGCTAATACTGTTTTCTAGTAGAAAAAACTAATTTTTATTTATTCTTTATTCCCGAGATTATTCCTATTTCCTACAAGGGCGGCTCCAATACGAATTTTCGGGAGGGGAGGGGACATTGCATTTAGCCATTCCTTATTTAGCATATTTTTTGAATAAAAGGCTCATAAATCATAAGAATTTTCATCTCGGGGGGGGGGGGGGGCAAGGCCCCCAAGCCCTCCCTTTTGGAGCCGCCCTTGATTTCCTATCACATCGCCTAATACAAAAATAAAATACCGCTGATGGCATCTATTAGCGAAATGTAACACCCACAGCGACAGCAAAAAATTTAATCTATAAAAATAGTAGAAATCTTTTAGAGTTTTCAAATAAGTTTACAACCAAGTAGTAGATGGCGCCCGTACCAAATACGCCAAAAGCAGGCCAACAAATAAAAACTGTAAATATTTGGAATTAATGGGATGTAACTTATTTTTTTAGAGTATACGAAACAATTTATTAACTATTATTTACGCATTCTTTAAAATCAGAAAATTAAAGTTTTCCAATTTCTGAAAATTTTAAATATGACTTGTGTTTCATTATCATGTTGGCAACACTAAACGAAGACTTTTTGACATTTTGACTTTTTAGTCAATATTTATTTTGACGATTTGACGTTTACTGTGAATCCAACGTGTATATAGTTTTTATTTAAATATTATTCACTTAAATTTAAGAGACAGTTATTCTCGTATAGATAAACTACACCAGTATTATAAAAACCAATAAATGAACCTCTAACCAGTTGTGTACTACCAATATCTCAATATTTATTAATATGAAACTTTAGTTTAAGGAGGGATAACTTTACTTTCCTCAAAAGTACGATACCCAAAAGGTTCAGTCTCTGTCACTCTCTGCTAGTATATCGTCGAAGTAACTCGTAATTATTTAATTCAACCTACTTATTAGTGAAAGCAGGTAGTGAAGCACAGTGTGATATAACAAGCATGGCATCCGCAGAAGAAATTTACAAGAAACAAAAAACCTGCCTACAAGTAGCTACAAATGTGACTGAACAAAAACACCATGTATCTAGGGCGAAACGGGGCCAAATTCTTGGTCACCTCAGGGGATTCAGAGGATGCACAGTTTGGTTTACTGGATTATCAGGAGCAGGTAACATTGTTATATATAAATTCTTTATTTAGTTTTTAATCTCGTTTAATGCAATGGCAATAGAATTATATATTATTTAACAAAATAAAAGCTCTAATATTTAAAAATCTAATATTAACATAATACATAATGGCATCCAGAAATCAGTGAGCCAAAATTTTTAATTATCTCAAATATTATTTAAAAAAAATTGCCCATTGAGTGTAAAATCAAGCGATAATCATTGCTCAAAATCTAACAATAACCTGATCAGTGATCAGTATTTATATGCACGCCACTAGGAATACTTTGGGATGTTATATTTCTCGAGAATATTGAGAGCTTTAAATATGTGCAACGTTAGCATTCTGCAGAGACATTTAAGAAGAAAAGTGGGAAACCTTCCCATTTAAAATATTCTAGATCTTTATTAAAACAAAATGCAGCAAATGTTCTTACATTTAATACAGAATGGCCTGTAAATGGTTTTTTATTAATTTTAATAATTATCAGAATAAATACTTTACAAAAATATCAAATATTCTACACCCTATATTGTGTTAATAATGGTATTTCCTGAAAATTTCACAAAAATCATACTAAAAATAAAGGCTCAGAAGGAAATACAAATTTTTCAAGATGTTTGGTTTGCTCTTAAAAAGCTCAGGCAGTGCCGTAGCTGATGAAGCTGAACTTAAGCTATCTACATATATCACAGAGAAAATGTAATTTAATTTTACATGTTTTGTCATAAACTCTAGTGCACAAGTCTTGATTTTACTTAACTTAGTTCCCTATCAATTCTACCCTTGAATTGGTTAACATTAGCAGCTGTTACATTGTCCTGTAAAGTGTTTCATGTATACACCACTCTATTTGTTAAAAAGTTTTTTGTTTGTAACCTGCTGCACCTTTCTATCGCTATTTTTTTTGTGTGGTTCCACAGATGGTTGGATGTGCTTAGTTTAAAGATTTTTTCAATAGTCCACTTTTTCAATTAAGTTTCTATGAGAGCTTCTTTCTCTTATAGTAGTTAGTTGTAGTTTAATTATTTTAGTAGTGTAGGCCATGTTCTGAAAATTTGGAGGGATCTTTAACTGATAATCTGAAATATTTTACATTCACCTTCTTACAGAAAGAAAATATTTGAATTGGATTATTTTTAAGGTAAAACTTCAATTGCTTTTGAACTTGAAGCATATCTCGTATCACATGGAATTCCAGCCTATGGTCTAGATGGAGACAACCTGAGAACAGGATTAAATAAAGACCTGGGCTTTTCCAAACAAGACAGAGAAGAGAATATTCGTAGAGTAGCAGAAGTTGCTAAATTATTTGCTGATGCAGGTCAAATTTGTCTTTGCAGCTTCATTTCACCAAATGCTGAAGACCGTGATGTAGCACGTCGGATTCATAGAGATAGTGATCTCATGTTTTTTGAGGTATTTGTGGACACTCCAATAGAAATATGTGAGCAAAGAGATACGAAAGGGCTGTATCAAAAGGCTAGAAAAGGTAATGAATGAGTCGATGAGCCAATAATATTTTCTTTAAATATTTTTAAGATTAAGTTTAAAAATATCCAATTTTTTAGGAATGATTAAGGGCTTTACTGGAATTGATCAGCCCTATGAAATTCCAGAACATCCAGAACTCGTTGTTAAAACTGTTAACTGCTCAATAGAACACAGCACCATGCAGGTGGTTGAAATGTTACAAGAGAATGGTGTTATACCTTTTGTTCAGGAAGACAAAGAATACATTCCCGAGTTATTTATTCCCAAACATAAATTGTCTAGTGCTTTAGAAGAGGCAGAAAGTTTGCCAAGGTTACAGATCACTGAATTGGACTTGCAATGGTTACAGGTAAGTTTTGAATTATTTATAAAAGTAGAACTAATTTTTTCAGGATTTCCTGAAAACATCAACTTTACCCAAAAAAAATTAATTTCTATAACTACATTAATTCTATAATTACAAATCCTAATACATATTTATGATTTAATATTAACTGATTACAAAATAGAATTAATGATAATCTACTTGATGTCATTTTAAAAAATTAATTTAGTATTGTGCAAAGTTTGTTGATAAAATTATGAAACTTCAAAAAAATTCAATAAGGTTTATTTCTGTTGTTACACAAATGAATTATATTTTTATTTATAGATTTTTTAGATAAAAGTATCATCACCAATCATTTTTAATAATTAAATATATATGTATAAAATTATAATGTAAAGATTACAATCAGTTATCACTTATGCATTCAAGCATCCAACTTTTTATTTGATTTACATTCATTTTTGTTTTATAATAAGGGATTTAATTCAGTTTTTAAAACAAATTTGTTATACGTCATATAAACATATTTGTATATAAATCTGTAATAATTTGATTTAAATTTATATCCTGTAAAAACAATATGAAATAACATAAAAATATGTAACTACCTATTTCTTATCAGAAAATAAATTGCTTTTATTTAATATCTTAACAATAATTAATTATTAATGCAAGTTATTTTGTAAATTATAATTCTTCTTTATTTTACAAAAAAACATGTTTTTTTATTTATTAAAAATATATCACATTCACACATTTAATTGTTATTAATAATATCAAATATTTGCCATCAAGTTTATTATGAAAGCTTTGAAATATCTGATTTAATTGTAAATATTTATAAAGTCTATAAATTCCAAATAAAGTTTTGCTTTTCTAATTACGAAGGTCAATATTGTTTATATTGACCCTGAATTAATCATGCCAATGGCAAAGCTGATTTGAAGAAAAAAATAACTTTAAAATAATGTTTATTGCTTTATATTTTTTAATTAAATTTCAGAAAATAAAATCATTTAAAATAACTTTGCTTTTTTTCTATACAAAACCAATAAATCTTCTTTAGTATGATTGGTCAAATTATATTTTTACTTTAAAACATTGAGGGACATAACATACACATTAAAAATGTATGTGGACAAAAACCATATTTTCATTTCTTTTTTTTTTTTATTTTTTTTTTCTCTTTTTAATTTGAAACGGTATAGCTTTGGAAATAAGGATAGGAATGACCAAAACATTTTCAATAGAAATTCATTGTGTTAAACAGTATTTAACTCAACGCATTAAAAAAACTTGAATTTTTAGAATAAAAATTATTGTTTGTGATAAAAAAGAAAAAAATGTTATTTAGTAAAATACTGTAATTACATTTTGTCTTTAAAACCTTTTTTAACGCTAATTATTAAAAAAAAAAAAAAGATTTAATGTAAAATTACGTCTGCAAATCTCTATGCCTGTAGCATACTACTTTTGTATATAAGTAAATAAAAATTTTACATTAGAATAAATAAAACAATCCATTTTTCTCTATACTATTTAATGATATAATGTTTACTACTAAATTTAAAAGGATATATTAAAAAATTATAGCATGAGGACGTAAAGGTTAGAATAAATTAAAAATATTTTGAAAAAGCCTTTATTTAGAAATGTAATAAATTTTACAATAATTGTATAAAAGCGAAATTAAACAAATAAAATAAAGACAATTTTCAAATAAAATTAAGATATTTAATCAGTCATTAAGCCATTAAGACCATAAAGTTACTCACATAATAATAATTGATGTTCCTAAATTTAGTAATGAGAATTATATACAATAATAAGTAAATCATAAAATTGAACAACTTAAGAATCGATCCATAAAAAATTGCAATATTACAGTAAATTATCTCCTTACAGGGGAATAAATGCCAATTAAGAGATTAACTAAAAATAACAATTGTGTTAAATGATTATCTTATTTTAAAATGTATTTTAGGAGACCATTATAATCAAGAAATGTCATTAAAGTAACTAGAATGAAGGTATATAATGCTTGGCATTCTACAGGGTGTTTCAAAAAGGTATGTCATAAATTATTCCTCAGCTAGATTACCAAAAAATAGGTGGATTTGGCTATATTTACCTATATCAAAAACTGGCTCCTAACAAAGTTACATGGCGTTAAACTAACATTCAAAAAAACTTTTTTCTATGAATTTTTTGCCACTGCTGTAAATTTAAAGGCCCAATATTCTAAGAAAAAAAAATTAAAGAGACCCCCTTAAAAAAATTTGGGGGTTGGGTACCTTTTAATGAAATTAACTTTATATCAATCTTAGTTAACGAGCTATTTACATTTTTTAACTGAATTTATAGAGCAATTCGTCCGTCCTGGACTTAACATATCAACAAAACTATGAGTAGGTCAGGAGTTATTGTACAAAAATCAGTGGTGTGCCTAGGGCTGTGCTTGAGCTGCCGCTGCAAAAAACTACCTCTTATTTATATTTTTGTATTCAAGAAGGAGGACATGTTGAATATTTACTAAATTAAATAGTTTATAAAATATGTATAATAATTATTGTCAAGTGTTTATTTTTAATTGTTAATTTTTTAATTAAAAAAATTATTTTTTTAATTACTATTAAATTTAATAAATACACTTCCAAACTAACGTGTATTTTTATCAGTGGCATGGTGAACCCATGAGGACGGGTGGCACACCATTTTTATGGCGCCAATCCAATATAAATACCATTTTTACAAAAATATAAATAAAAGAGGTAGTTTTTGCAGGGGCGGCTCAAGCTCAGCCCTAATCACACGACTGATTTTTATATGCGTTTTCTGTTCAATAACTCCTGACCTACTCTTAGTTTTGTTGATATGTTGAATCCAGGATGGACGAATTGCTCTAGAAATTCAGTTAAAAAATTGTAAATAGCTCGTTAACTAAGAAAGATACAAAGTTAATTTGCTTTAAAAAAAATTAAAAATACATAGTTCTTTTTGATTTTAAGATCGATAAAGCAAGTTTATTTATGTAAAAAAAAATACGGGGAGGTTAAATGTACCCAACCCCCCAACTTTTTTTAATTGGGTCTTTTTAATTTTTTTTGTCCTTAGAATATTAAGCCTTCAAATCTACAGCACTGGCAAAAATTTCAAAGAAAAAATCGAAACAGCAACCTTTTTACAAAAAAAAAAAAAACGTTTTTCTGAATGTTAGTTTAACGCCCTGTAACTTTGTTGGGGGCCAGTTTTTGATATAGGTAAATACTCGAGTAAATATAGCCAAATCCACTTGTTTTTTGGTAATCTATCTGAGGAAGAATTTATAACACCTTTTTAACAGACACTCCTTAATCCCCATTTTCAATCAGAATCAATGCTTCATCCTCTTATAAAGCTTGATTTTTCCTGAAGATTTCAATTTGATATCTTTTTTTGTTTATGAGTTAAGATTTTTTTCATTATTTTAACCCCCCTTAACTCTCCATTTTATTCAGATTTTTTTTTTTTCAGAATCAATAGGCTTCATTCCCTTATAGAGCTTGATTTTTACTAAAAAATTTCATGTTGATATCGCTTTTGGTTTTTGATTTCTATTATTTTTTTTTTTTTTTTATTTCAACCGCCCTTAACCCCACATTTTATTCAGATTTTTTTTTAAATCAATGAAGTTTGTCCTCTTATAGAGTTTGATTTTGCTAAAAATTTCAAATTGATATTATTTTTCAATTTTGAGTTTTTAAATATTTTAATTCCCCAGATTCCCCTTAACCCACATTTTTATTTAGATTTTTTTCAGAATCAATAGGCTTCCAACCCCTTATAAAGCTTGATTTTTACTAAAAATTTCATGTTGATAACGCTTTTCGTTTTTGATTTATGTTTTTTTTTATTTCAACTCCCGTTAAACCCCCCATTTTTAATAAGATTTGGTTCAAAATCAATGGACTTCTTCTTCTTGCTAAAAATCTTAAATATCAGAATTTTGCACATTTTGTCAAATTTCTCGAATACGGACCATTTCAGGAAAATTTGACATAAATCAAAAATTATAGATAATAATATTAGAAGTAACTTGAACAATTTTCTTCTCCAAACATAAATAACATATTCCATAAAATATAAAAACGGCCTCCTATAAAGTACCCCCCCAGATGTTCCGACTTTGTCCAAAATCTAATCATTTCACGTCAGGTCGAAATAAAACTTAAGTTTAAAATTTAATGTTTTTTCCTTTATCCGTTTTTGAGTTTTCTTCAAAATTCGAAATTTACACATTTTCTCAAATATCTCGAATACGGTTAGAGAAATTATGTAAAGGTTAAAAATTATATAGAAAATTATATTACAAACAACTTTTATTTGAACAATTTTTATAAAAAATATTTTTTTTACATTTTGTCAAATTTCTCGAATACGGACCATTTAAGGAAAATTTTGTATGAAACAAAAAATATTGATAATATTGTAAGTAACTTTTATTTGAAGAATTTTCTTCTCCAGACGTAAATAACAGATATATTCCATAAAATATAAAAATGACTATCCATAAAGTACCCCCCAGATGTTCCGACTCTGCCCAAAATCTAATCAGTTCATTGGACGCCGGAATAAAGCTTAAGTTTAAAATTTAATGTTATTTCCTTTATCCGTTTTTGAGTTTTCTTCAAAATTCGAAATTTACACATTTTCTCAACTATCTCGAATACGGTCCATTTTAGAGAAATTATGTAAAGGTTAAAAATTTTTTTTTTTACATTTTGTCAAATTTCTCGAATACGGACCATTTAAGGAAAATTTTCTATAGAACAAAAAATATTGATAATATTGTAAGTAACTTTTATTTGAAGAATTTTCTTCTCCAAACGTAAATAACATATATTCCATAAAATATAAAAATGACCACGCATAAAGTACCCCCCAAATGTTCCGACTCTGCCCAAAATCTAATCAGTTCATTGGACGCCGGAATAAAGCTTAAGTTTAAAATTTGGCATTTTTCTTTTTATTGATTCATGAGTTATGGTGGATACAGACACACACACACACACACACACACACACACACACACACACACACACGCACGCACACCCGCACACACAGGCACGCACACACCCGCACACACACATTATCCCGAAAATAGTCAAAACGGATTCAGGGGATTCCAAAACGTAAAAGTCCGTCGAAAACTGGAGGTCAAAAAAAATCATGATTCCTATAAGTACTTACCTTATTTGTACACAGATAGGAAAGTAAAAATATTTGGCACACTTCACATTTCCTCACCATCCTAAATGTCCTTATTAAACAGTTCAATGTTCAAATTATTCTCGAAAATCTCAACTAACAGCAAAAAAGTACTATAAAAATTAAGCTGTCACTTGACGCCGTCATCAAATGTCTTAGGTTACCAAACTTTAAGGTTATGAACGAGAATGTTTAATATCCACATAGGATACACTTGTAAAAGACGATAAATAAAAATCTTAAGTGATTGTAATTAATAACAAACTCATATTGATGCTTTCAATTCTTTATTTATCTTTTTTTAATGGATTATATTAAAGGGAATAGTACATTTTTTAATAAAAATGTAATGCAAGATATTTTTGATGGAAGTGATCTGATAACATAGGAAGATCGTACTATCAGAAAGATGTTGCAAACAAATTCAATGTATACAAGGCATCTATCCGATATCTTTGGTTCTGTATTAATTGTACAAATACTAAAACATATTAGATAGTAAAACCATTTAAAAAATTCATACAATGTTTTGCTAGATTTAGTTTTTTCTCAGATGCTTTGTTTCTAATTGTAAAATTAGCTGATTATTTACTTTTACCAAATAGTTTTCATCTGAAGCCTTATCTTGTACTATTAAGGCCCAACCTATTATAAATCATCTTAAAAGTATTCAGAATTATTATGATTTTAAGAATACTGACTATTTCGGTTTCTCTAAAAGGAATGGATAGTTTAAATGTTCCTATTTGGTTCTTAGCAGAATTAAAATGTTACCATTGACAAAAAATCGCACATTAAAGATTTAAAAAATATGGGAAAAGTAATGATTACTATCAGCCGTATACATAGTCGATCGCCAGCGACTCGCCAGAGATTCATTTCGGCGTATCCCAGCGATTCGCTGGCGATCCGCCGGCGAAAGCCCAAAAAGCTGGCGACTCGCCGGAGATTGTCACCGAAATGTCATTTCACGCAAGTTTTCATGTTCTTTTATAGGGAAAAATTTGATATTCGTTCATTATTTTTTGAGTTTTAAGAAATGAATCATGAATAAAATGCGAGAGATACCGGTGATAATCCCTATAAAAGAAAATAAAAACTTGCGTGAAATGACATTCCGGTGACAATCTCCGGCGAGACGCCACCTTTTTGGGCTTTCGCCGGCGGATCGCTGGCGAAACGCCGAAATGAATCTCTGGCGAGTCGCTGGCGATCGACTATGCATACGGCTGTATATATTCTGTGTATTAAGATCTGTATGTAAACGCCTATCCAAACAGGGTTTTGAAAATTATATGTCTCCCGTTGACATTTCACTTAATGATAACAAAGTTTTTCTGGAATTAAGAGTGAATCCTTTTTACCAAATTTAATATTTCTTGATGACAAAGTTGGTGATACCAATCAAAGAATTGCTGACTTATTTTGCTGACCATTTTTCTAAAACTTACAGTGATGAAGTTGCTGATGTCTCTCTGATTTACAGTTTTTCAATCAGAAAAAATTCTACCTACATTTTTTTAAATAATTACAGTACTTTTATGGACTACTTTTAATTTATCATATTTATAAACGGCTCATTTAAATTTCAGATTCTCAGTGAAGGCTGGGCATACCCTCTAAAAGGATTCATGAGAGAAGATCAATTCCTTCAATCTTTGCATTTCAATTGTCTTCAAAATGAAGGAAGTCCTGTGAGCCAGAGTGTCCCGATCGTATTACCTACTACCACTATGGACATGGAACGACTCAAAGATGCCTCTGCCATATCCTTGTTACATTACAATGAATGTTGTGCTATTCTTAGAAAACCCGAATTTTTCTTTGCCAGGAAAGAGGAGAGGGTAGCTAGACAATTTGGTACCACTAATAAGGACCATCCTTATATCAAGATGATATACGAATCAGGAGATTGGTTGGTGGGAGGTAAATATAGTCTTCATTGTTACTTTATTTTATGAGTTAAAAGTTTCTAGGATATTTTTTTTATTTTTAGGTGAATTGGAAGTATTAAAGAGAATAAAATGGAATGATGGTTTGGATAAATACAGATTAACGCCGAACGAGCTTAGAGGAAAATTCAAAACCTTAGGAGCTGATGCTGTATTTGCCTTTCAGCTTAGAAATCCAATCCACAATGGGCATGCTCTTTTAATGACCGATACGAAGAAACAATTGCAAGAAAGGGGTTACAAAAAGCCTGTACTGCTTCTTCATCCCTTAGGTATGGCATAATACTTTAAAACCAAAAGTAATGAGATTCAATATACATAGATTTCAAAGTGACCATTTAAGTTTAGTGAAATACATGCAATTATTATTAATAAACGGTAAATTTATTGTTGCTGGTTTTGTATTTGCTATATCGTTGGTTCACAATAATAGTGACTCAAATATTTTAATTTTCGAGTTTATTGTGAAAATGTATAGCAAAATCCGCATATGTTTATGTGACACAAATGTAGTTGTGCTCTGACAATCAATGAGACAAAATCGTCAATTTTCGGCTAGAGTAACAAATCAAAATATGCCCGTTTTATTAAAAATAAACTATTTTAACAGTGACACAAGTCAAATTATGACATTGTTGAAACAGTCATCCTACTAATATAGAAATACGAAAGTTTGGATGGATGGATGGATGGATGTTTGTTGCTCAGTCACGTCAGAACGGCTGAACAGATCTGGATGAAATTCGGCACAAAGATAGGTTATAGTCTGAAATAGCACATAGGCTACTTTTTATCCAGAAAAATGTACGGTTTCCGTGAGATAGATTTGTTTTTCGCAGAGCAAGAGATCAGCATGATTTTTTGCATAGTGGTATTGAAACATGAAAATTTGAAATACAGCTACTGAGGATAAATAAATAATGACGTGTTTTTGGATTTTCACAGTTGAAGGGGGAGAAATGGGAGATGAAAGTTTGTATGGAAGTATTGATTTTTTTTAAAGGTAATGATTTGAAAATTGGAATTATAGCTCCTCATCACAAATAATTAAAAGTGTGTTTCAGGACAGGAGGAAGAGGGAAGGGAAAGGGTGACAGTTTGTATAAGTAAGTTAAAGAGATAAGAACTTGAAAATTAGAATTGTAGCTACTTATTATAAATAAATAGATATGTTTTAGGGTATTTGAATGTTTACATATTAAGGGGGAAATGGGAGGTGATTTTGTATGGCACTTTCGGTTTTTTAAAGGTAGCGACTTGAAAATTGGAATTATAGCTACTTATTCCAAGTAAATATTGAGGTATTTCAAGGTTTTTGGATTTTCACATTCTAAGGAGGGGGAATGGAAAGTATCATAAAAATAAATTAATAAAAATAAATAAATAAAAGTAAATAAAAATAAATGAAATTTATTAAAAATTATTAAAAATTATTAAAAATTATTAAAAATTATTAAAAATTATTAAAAATTATTAAAAATATTAAAACTATTAAAAATTATCAAAAATTATTAAAAATTAAAACATTGAAAATTGTTTAAAATTATTGAAAATCATTAAAAATTATTAAAAATCATTAAATATTTAAAAAAATTATTAAATATTAAAAAAAAATAAAAATTTCTCTCGAGAACGAAAACTGTTATTCACTTTTAATAATTGAGGTTTGAGAAATTCCAGCGAAGCGGGATCGGGTCAGCTAGTTATCAGTATAGTGTGAAATATACTTTTCTGGAAGATCATCATAACTCACAAGAGGGATGAAAATATAATATTTTTGGATTTTTTCTTAATGTTATCAAAGCAAATTTGTGTTATTGTTTGAATACAAGGTGAACACTGTGTTTATTTCCAAAAGAGATTTAAACATTTTTATAATGCAATGACAATAACATGCCTAACAGGAAACATTAAAATGAATGTATTCGAAAATCTATGTTTTTGGATTGAGTCATTATTCTTGTGTATCAATGTTATTCAATAACCAAATATTCATATAGGGGGTTGGATCAAAGACGATGACGTCCCTCTACCGACAAGGATGCTACAACACCAAGCAGTTCTCGACGAAGGTCTTCTCGATCGTTCTTCGACGATTTTGGCCATTTTTCCGAGCCCCATGATGTATGCTGGTCCCACCGAGGTCCAATGGCACGCCAAAGCAAGGATGAACGCAGGTGCAAATTTCTACATAGTCGGGAGAGACCCAGCTGGCGTAACACATCCTGCAGGCAAGGACGCATCTCCTGATGGAAATTTGTATGATCCTACTCATGGTGGAAGGGTACTTAAAATGGCTCCAGGTTAGACTTTACTGTTTTTAGATTGAGAGATAACAGTGTTATATAGTTTTACTATTTTAAAATGTATATGTCTATAATTCAAATTCCAATTAATTTTATATTTATTGCATTTTAAAAGAAATAAACAGAATAATTACTATTTCCATATAAATCAAGACAGGTGTAATTAGTGATGTAAAGGGGGGAACGTTCCCTTCGTGCTGTAGGGGAACGTTCGCCCATGATAGATCGTTCTTCCGCGCACAAACGATCTATCGGGCGCGAACATTCCCCAAAGAGCACATTCAGCAGGGACGAGAATTTTCAGCATGATCTCTGTCAATTAATGTGCTTCATCTTCTAATAAAGATTTTTTTTTAATGTTGGAAGTTACTACTGTATTATTTGCAACAGAAAATATTATAGTGTCATTTTCTTATGAAGCATTAGGAGAATATTAGCATTTTGATAATAAATAACTTTTGGAAAGATCCGCTGAAAGTAAGTTTTTGAATAGTTTACCACTCTCCAAACATAAATTCTCGGTTTTTTATTTATGCTCGTTTCTTCTCGTTCATGATCGTTAATGCTTTGAGAACGTTCTCCAAACATACATGCTCGAGAATTTTACATCACTAGGTGTAATTCTGTTACTGATCATCAACTTACATTTTGCAACTTGATTACAAAAGTGCCCAAGAAAAACGAGAAGTTTAAATGTTTTAGAAATTATAAGAATTTTAATATATATAATTTTAATAATGATTTACATTCCCCAAATTGGAATCAAATTTTTTATGCTTCTGAGATTAATATGAAAGTTGACATATTAACTAATAATATTAAATATTTGTTTGATCAACATGCTCCATATTGCAGAGTACAAATCACGAAACCAAAAGCACCGAGGTTGTCAGATAGATTACGTAAACTAAAGGGAGATTGAAACAAGTTACTGAGTAATTTTAAGTGGACAAGAGATACAGATGATAGGGATGAATATAAGCGAGTAAGAAACTTTGTTACAATGACTGTAGGAAATGAGAAGCGTGCATATCTAGAGCAACTAAACAGAGTTGGTAATAGAAGGGACACATGGCGAGCTTTAAAACAGCTAAATGTGTATTCTAGTAAAAATGATGTAGATATTCCAAAAGAAATAAGTGATCCCGATTCGATAAATAATTATTTTGTGGACTCAGTTTTAGATTTGGGATGTAAAGTAGATCCCGAGTTAGTTAATTATTACAATACACATAGAGTCTGAAATGGTCCGAGTTTTAATTTACAAACTGGTTTGGAAAAGAATGTTTTAAATGCAATAGGAAGTAATAAATCTAATTCAGCAGGTTCGGATGGTATAACTTTAGATATGTATAAACTTTGTTGTCCACATATTTTGCCTCATTTAACATGCATTTACAACTGTTGTTTGACAGAAGGTTATTTTCCTATTAATTGGAGAGTGGCATGCATAGTCCCTTTGCCTAAAGTAGCAAATCCTAAAGAAATCAATCAGTTAAGACCATTAGTAAACTGTCAGTCTTATCCAAAATTTTGGAAAAATTAATTTATTCACAGATGGTACAATATTTATCAGATCACAATTCTGACGTGTTAATTCAAATGGCCGTAACTGCAATTTTCCTTGAAATAAAGTAATGGCCACTACGCCTGACAACAATGAATTTTTTGTTCATCTCTATAATTTATTTTCATGGATATATATTCTATAAAATCCGAGATTTAACGCTTAGAAATTTGGGCGTAAGTGAATTTTCTTGAAAAATCGTTTTTTTCTCACGTTCATTATTAAACAGATACGGCCATTTGAATTAACACGGCAGAATTTATTTGCCGAAAATCAATCTGGGTTTAGAACTTCACATAGTACGGGAACTGCACTAACTAAAATGCTGGATGACATAATACAGGCAGTGGATAAGGGGAAAATTACTACACTAATTTTGTTGGATTACAGTAAGGCATTTGATACCTTAGGCAGAGAATTACTTTTAGCCAAACTGAATTATTATGGTTATTCTGCAGGATTGTTAAAACTATTAAAGAGTTACCTATCGCATAGATGCCAATATGTGAGTATAGGCAATAATGAATCTAGCTCAAGAATGATTGACAAAGGTGTGCCACAGGGCTCAATTGTTGGACCTCTTCTTTATCCTATATATACAATGGATCTTAACAATAATGCTGTGAACTGTACAATAGATCAATTTGCTGATTATACTCAAATTTACAAGAGTTTCTTAGTTAATGAACTGGGTAATGCTCGCTTAGAGATAAATCAAACTCTGTCTAATATATTCGAGTATTCAGTTAAACATGGGCTAAAAATAAATCCGGCAAAAACTCAAGCAATATGCTTTGGTAATGTTACCAAAGTTATAAAAGATAATTTGAATATCGAAATTGATAATGTGGTAGTTAAGCCATGTGACTTAGTCAAAAGTTTGGGAATTTATATCCACACTAAATTGAGATTTAAGGAACAAGTTAGATCCATTGTCCAAAAATGTTATTGCTCTTTAAAAAAATCTATATCGAAACAGATCTTTTTTGAATGCATCTCTAAAAATACAACTCTGTGAGACGTTAATATTAAGTCATACCAATTATGCTGATTTTGTTTATGGGCCATGTTTAGATGTAAACTCGTCGGCGAGGCTACAGTGAATTCAAAACTCGTGCGTTAGGCTTATTTTTACATTAACATCTAGAGATCATGTTTCAAACAAATTGAAAGAATTGGGGTGGCTTAATATGTTTAATAGACGAAAACTTCATATGGCTTCCTTTTTACACAAACTGCTGAGAAATAATCCAGCGTACCTTAGGAAAAAATTGACATTTAGCTTGAATGTTCATAACCGAAATACTAGAAATACTAGCCTTCTTGTTATACCTAAACATAGAACAACTCTCTACAAGAGATCTTTCTCATACAATGCAGTCACTATATATAACTACCTGATCAATGTAAAAATAAATCTCCAGAAATCTTTAAAAATGACTGAAAAAATTTTTTGTTTATGTATTGTTAATTTTCTTATTGCATGTGTCTATATACAATGTATATTAAATAATTTAAATCTAAATAACAATGTATATTTGTATTATAGGAAATGTTTGTATTTGGAGTGGACTCCACAGAGGCTTATTTATATTAATTTGAAAGGTCTTAAATGTTGGAGAGTATACCATTAAATATTGGAGAATAGTTTCAGTAATTTGGGAGGCTAGTGATAGAATATTGAGTAGAAGTCTTATAGGTATCCTTATATTATTCACCAGATTTTTTCATATGGGGATACATAAAAGGCAGAGCTTTTTCATTTGTAACCTGAGATGTAGCACTTGTTTAAGAAAATATTAGTATCTAGCAATATCACTAAAAAGCTACTTGATTGTGTCGCACAACGTAGACAATATTGAATATTTAATATAGGTTTCGTTTTGTATTTTTTAATTGCTTTTACCCTATATTCGTAAATTTATTTTTGTAATAAATTTTTCCAAGCTTGGTTGTAATTATTAATTTTTAATAGATCAATAATAAATTTTATAACCTAAAGTACAGTGAAATAATTTTTTAGTTTCTTATACATGCTAAAGTATCTGTGGAAAAGCTTAATTAAACATGTCCTTATGTATTTAAAAAACATGAATAGAACAAAATTTTTGGAAATCAGTTGATATAATTTTTGGTCTACACATAATCTGCCGTTCTATGAACCTATAAACCCCCGTATCTTCAAAAATTGAAAAAAAGTATTTCTATATACATTATACATGTTTTTCGTAGTATAAACTACCATTTTACTAAGAAAAAAAACCGTATTTGCTTATTTTTTCTAAATGTATCATAGAAAATTATTTCCATGTATGTAGCTTTGGAGCCAAACAAAACATGTTAGACCGCGTTTTTCTCGAAATCATGTTTTCTGGAGATACGGGGGGGGGGTCTTTCGTAGGACGGCAATAATTTTATATATAGGGATACTCTATCTTTAATAATTATTTTTTGGTATGGCATTAATACCAGCATATACACAATGTGTGGTATCTTGTGTCCATAGTAACTTTTCATTATTTTTTTTAAGGTTTAAATTCTTTGGAAATCATCCCATTCAGAGTGGCAGCTTACGATAAGAGAAATTCCAAAATGGACTTTTTCGACAACTCAAGAAAAGAAGATTTCGAATTCATATCGGGAACCAAAATGAGGACCTTGGCCAGAAACGGAGATACTCCTCCTAATGGATTCATGGTCCCAAAAGCTTGGGAAGTACTAGCCGGGTACTACCAATCCTTAAATAAATGTTAGGGTATTCTCGCTAAATTGATTACATTAAAGCTGGTTTTATTAAATAATTTAAAGCTCCATCAGGCATTCGATAACTTACATCAAACGTGCCCTCAAATAACGGCACTGATCGCTCAAGAAGTTTTTGACAATTTATTTTAAATCGCTCAATAACTTTGTAATTTTTCTGAAGCATTTTGTTTTGATTCCAGACACTGCTTTTGCATCACTATATTAAAATATTTTATGGAAAGGCAAGATATTTTAGATATACTTTATTTTTAAAACGTTTATTTGACCCAGGAACTGTGATAATGTGAAACATTAAAATAATGACAAAAAAAATATAAGATGTGTTCATTAAATAATAAAGATACTTGAGCTACATTTAACATTAAAATATTTTAAATGATATCTTTTCCCCTTCAATGTAGTTCCTTGTCCACTAACACAGCGCAAACACGTTATTGAAGCAAATAAGTCACTTCGGGAAATGAGCAAAAGTCATTTGGGTCCAAATCTGGCTAATATAGATTTTTTTAGTAAAAATTACTGTCTTCAGGGAAACTGAATCTTTGGGTGCTTAGTCCTATGTTTAGTACAATTATCCCTCTGATTCCCAGTTTTTCAAGATGCCCTTCATATCAAAGAAATCAATCAACATTACCTTATAATTGTCCTTATTTGAGAAACGATGAGGACATATTGTCTTTTCTACCCTTGTTTTAACATGAACATTCAATGCAAGTTCAGTCACATTATTTTAATAGTCACACCTATACTTTAATTTTTATTAAATTTTGGCAAGATTGATATTTATAATAATTAATGTTTCATTAATCATTTTTAAAATGAGAAAGTAAACAGTATGGGTATATTCCACTTATAATAGAGAATTAAAAATAGAAAAAAAAACAAAAGTAAGCTTTATTAAAACACATCGATATTGTTATTTAATGAGAGCTTTTAAAAATCTTTAATAGAATACGTTTTAAATTTTAATGTTTAATTCACTTTGTAAAAAATATTTTAATATGTAGCATAAAATGCAATATTTTGTATATATTAATTTTATTATATCACTAAGGTGCTTTTATTAGGTACATTTTATATTAAATACATCGCTATATTATGTTTTAGTTTTAACAGTATTAAGGGTTAACTTTCTGTTTTATATATGTTTATATTTCCTATATACACGTTTTGTTTTAAATATATTTTATCCAAAGAACCATTATTTCTATAATCCTGCAATTTTCCATTATTCCTAGCACATATGAGACTCTCAAAGACTGTCTATTAAAAAACAAGTTGATAATCTATATTTGTTTTCCACTGCATTGGAAGGAAGATGTTTTCAGAAATACTAGGACAAAGAAAGAGACAGGATGGTATCAAATAGGGTTGTAAATCATTAATGAACCTTTTAAACTTTGATGAAAATAAACATTTATTATTTACTCAACAGAAAAAAAATTATTATATTTACAGAAATAGATTAACATCAAGGAGAATAGTTTTATTTAACAATGTTTGATTTTCAGCCTCAATATATTGCCAACAGTTTTCAAAATTTTCATTAAGAGATGTGGAGACATAAGGATCGGAAGTGAAAACTATATCTTCATAGTTCTCCAAAAAAGCTGACCTTGTAAGGTTCATGGAACCAATTAAAACATATCCACCATCTTCCTTATAGTCTTTCAGCATATATTTGTAATGCATAATGCTACTCATGTCAGGTAGATGGGTTATGTACAACTGTACTTTCATACCTAAAAATGAAGCATGTAAATTAAAAAAAATAAACATTTTTGTGGAAAAGAGAAAATGACATGCATCGTCGTGTTTTATTTGACACTGTAACACTGACCTGCTAAGAAAGGTTGTATCTTTAAAAATTCCGATTTTGAAATTTTTTTAGTAAGTTTACATTTTAATTGAGTGCCGATACTTAAGGGTGTGAATCCTTGGGTGATTTTAAGAAGAAAAGTTAATATTAACAATATGTCGTAAACCTCTAGTTTAAAAAAAAAATTTATCATAATTTTCTTATCACGCCAGATATTTTTACACCTTTTAATCATTAAGAAGCATCTTTTGATGTAAAATATTTTTTTAAATTTGTCCGTACTGAATATTTTTAAAGAAAAAAATGATACGCCACTGCTTTTTCTAAAAACCAAAATTATTTTTAAACCCTCATTTATTTTGGAGCAAATTTGGTCCATAGACTTATTTTCGTACGACACCGTTTTTGCGTAAAAAAATAAAATCAAAAAAAAAATGTTATTCATTGAAAGTGCTTTTGATATTTTGTTGACATTTGGTAGGTACCCACCATGCATACAAACACCTTTTTTAGCACGAAAATATCTGGAGTGATAAGAAAATTATGATAAAAAAGTTATTTTTTTCTTAAAACTCCCTGTAGCTCAAAAAATAAGAGGTTGATATTAACTTTTCTTCTTAAAATCACCCACGGATTCACACCCTTAAGTATCAGCACTCAATTAATAAATACCCTTGATAAAGGTTAGTCGCAACTGCTTACAAAGTGTAAAAGGATGTATGTACTCTTTTTAAAAATGTTCAGGTAAGTCATTGTAGTTTAATCTCCCACTAAAGTGCATGTTCACACCATCGCTGCTCCAACTCGTTATGACAATTGGAATTTGGAATTGTTACATAGTAAAAGTTTAAATCAAGGTAAACACATGATACACAGACTAACGGTATGTTCCTGCGCATGCAGCTGACTGATGGTGACGCCACGTGGGACATAGAATTATTAGCATTAAATGGTAGTGTTTGAAATTCATTTACAAATAAGAAGATTTAAGATAAATAATACTAATAAAAATATAAATTTTTCTCATAAAATACAGGTATTTTGTGACAAAATGCATACCCTGGCCATAAGATAAGTAAAGTACAAGTTTCACTCAAATTTGTACTTTCTGGGCGCGGTAATTCTCCTGGAATCCCTTTTCTTATATAAAAATAAGTATGCAGAAACAAATGATTTATTTATAAAAAGTAAGTACACAAAAAATTAATTTTATTCGGTAAATTTAAACATTTTTTTTGTCAAGTTTTCTTTGAAAATACTCAAAACCAATTTTTCTGTTCATGTATCTTATTCTTATACATCGTTCCCTACCATGTCAAACTATCGAATATGAAAAAGTCGTTTTTTCATATCCGATACACAGCTTATACAATACAGCTAAAACACTCTCTTGGCGGCAACGGTTTGCGTCGATTCCGTTGCGCATCGCTTAAGCTCCGCCTTCGGACGGAAAAGGCGGCTTTAGCGTTCAGAAGCGTACTTAGGTAAGGTATTGAGCCGTGCGTATAATTTCGTTGATTTTGTTTGAGCTCTCTGTTGTGTTAAGTTAAAGGTACTGTTATTATTTTGATGACTCTTTAGCTGTGAGTAGAATGAGTCCCATTAGTGTGTAATTGTTCAATATTTCAATTTGTGTTGTAGACACGCAAAACAGTTTTAAATATAAGTTATATGGATTTGAAAAATACATATTTTAAAAATATTTTTGAATATACAGGGTATCGTGTTTTTGCCTAACAAATCAAAATGTATGTTCTTTAAATGGAACACCCTTTATTTTATTTTTAGAATGGTTTGGTAATACTGTATTTAACCCTAGAATGCATTAAAAAGTATTACAATGTTGCCAAGCAATTAATTTTTTTTTTTAATTAGAGAATGATGCAGACCTCAAATTAAATTATCATAATTTAGGTAGGTTTACATTGATTTTAAAATTGTTTAATACACAAACTTATAAGATATTAGGCTAACGAATAGTGGTGATAGAACTGGTTTATTTTATACAGAGTGTTTTGAAACATGTCTTAAACTGACCATGTAAGGTGCATCTACTCACCAAAAAATTATTTGCATTTAAACCTTCAAAGAATTGATATTCGTGTCAAATAAACCTTAAGTAGTAAATTTGACTCTGTTCAAAATAATTTTTCTACGCCCACATAAATATTAGCTAATCTACGCATAGACTAAAAAACGAAAAAGTATGCTATCGTGTTCAACTAAATGAATATATTTCATATCCATTTTAGGTAGTGAAAACACTTAAAAAAATGAAAAAAAAATAAAATTCAATCAACCTATATGATACTAATTTAATTACGAGTATTACAACTAAAATCCTAAAAGTTTCGATACATTATTTTAAAATTAGTTATTTTGTCTAAATAACCTAAAATAATTTTTTAAATTTGTAGATTTTCGTCAGTGGGTCTTAGAAAAAATGTACTGTACAACTCGAGTGGATTGTCTATATTCACTCTTGTTGTACAAAACTACTATTTATTTGTTTTCTTGTTTTAATGTTTACATCAGTAAATAGGAACTAAATTAATTTACTTTTTAGGGTTTCTTGTATAAATCGATATTACTTTCTCCAAGTACAAATTTATTACCTACCTAAAATAGGTACTAATTATGTAATTTCGCGTAATATTGTAATTCAAATTTCACATTACTATCAAGTTTCAAAATTCCCTACTTCGGTATGGACAGATAAAAATTGAATATATTATATTAATAAAAACTGTCAAAATACTACTTCTACAAATCTTTATTCCAATGAATAAGAATACATCTAAAGAAAAAAAACAATATTGTTAAAAGCACAAGTGACCGATTCTTTATAATAACCCAGAATACCATCGAGTTCCCATTTTAAAGATTAATTAAAAGTATCAAAATAACTTGAAAGTCCGTCCCACATTACATCACTGCACAGTTTGGATGAAATTTGAATCAAAAGTCAGCATATCATTAGTCTGTGTATTATGGATAAACGCAAATTTGAGACATCAGAGATGCTGTCAAACATGTTTTCGTGGGCTAGGATTTTTTTTTAATAAACAAAAATATCCTTTAATTTTAGTTTATTAACCTACTTCAAAAAAAGAGGGAGGTTCTCAATACGTCGGAATATTTTTTTGTACAACATAGATTTTCTTAGTCCTCAAAATTAAAAGAAAAACCAACCGGCAAAGCAAAAATAGATGCAAAGTGGCAGGTATAAAATTCTTATGAAGACTAGAGATAAGGAGAGGAATCTGGACGAATCGGCATTGGTCAAATTTTCATCCTTCTTTTTATAAAGTTCGCGAAATTGACTGTAGTTGGCATGTCTAATGACAACGCAGTCAATTTTCTATGTAAGTCAATGTAAAATAAAGTGATTTTTTAAAAAATTGATGAAAAGAATCAAAATAATGTGAAAAAAGTACTTGAGTACAAGTAACATGAGTGACAAAAAACATCAAAGCAAGATTTACGTCGTTTCAGATTGTAAAACAGGATAAAAATCAAATGTAAAACTAAAGGAAACACAAGAAGAAATCAATTCAATGTCTTTTCAAAGCTTTTAATGTAAGTAAAATAATGTATTCATGTCTAAATATAATATTTATTATAAACTAGTCACAATAGATCTTTTCCTTTGCATCGACAGTGTAGCACTGAGCTAGGTTACTTCTGAATATGTCGTTCTATCCATACAATTTGTATAAATGGAACGATATTTTCAGAAGTGGTGTAGCTGAGTGCTACACTTTCGATGCAAAGGAAAAGACCTAATATGTATCTTATGAAGTGTAGTTTATTTTATTATGTTTCTATAATATAAAATTTTACAGTTATAGATGCTGACTTACAAACAACAATAATTATGCATTAAATAGAAAAGAAAATTTATTTTTTATAGAGTTTTAATGTTAGATAAAGAGTTGCTACTGTTATTTTTTTTTTTTTTTGACCCCAATTGTGTCATTTTAAATGTTTTTTTATAGGATACTAAACATTTAGAACAGTGGCATTCCTAGTGTCAATAAAGCACTTTCTAGAAATGATGCTGTTCTATACTTTTTAGAACATATCAAATATGAGACTATTTTTACTGATGGTACCGTTAGCAAAATAAAAAGGGGAAAGCAGAAATTAAAGGATGAGGTAATACCATGTACATTCCCAAATCTCCCTTTATACTTGTATTACAACAATAAAAAATCTGATGTGTCCAACACATGACTTTCCTATCTAGTTATATAAATGTTTAGAGGATAAACTAAATATATACATTGTCCACATACATCTACCTCGAAACATTTTTCTATAGATATTCATGGAAAACGAAAATACTGAAAAATTTTAATTTCCTACAATTTTTTCATTACGGTCCATTTTAGGAAAATCATGTATAAACAAAAATTATAGAGATCGATATCGTAAACAATTTTTATTTCAAAAACTTTCATAATAAAAATCAGAATTTTGCACATTTTGTCAAATTTCTCGAATACGGACCATTTCAAAAAATTTTTACATAAAACAAAAATTACAGATAATAATATTAGAAGTAACTTTTATTTGAACAATTTTCCTCTCCAAACATAACTAACAGATATATTCCATAAAATATAAAAACGGCCTCCCATAAAGTACCCCCCCAGATGTTCCGACTTTGTCCAAAATCTAATCATTTCACGTCAGGCCGAAATAAACCTTAAGTTTAAAATTTAATGTTTTTTTCTTTATCCGTTTTTGAGTTTTCTTCAAAATTCGAAATTTACACATTTTCTCAAATATCTCGAATACGGTCCATTTTAGAGAAATTATGTAAAGAATAAAAATTATAGAGAATTATATTACAAACAACTTTTATTTGAACAATTTTTATAAAAAAATATTTTTTTTACATTTTGTCAAATTTCTCGAATACGGACCATTTTAGGAAAGTTTTGTATAGAACAAAAATTATAGATAATAATATAAGAAGTAACTTTTATTTAAAGAATTTTCTTCTCCAAACGTAAATAACAGATATATTCCATAAAATATAAAAATGACCACCTATAAAGTACCCCCCCAAATGTTCCGACTCTGCCCAAAATCTAATCAGCTCATTAGACGCTGAAACAAAGCTTAAGTTTAAAATTTGGTGTTTTTCTGTGTATCGGTTTATGAGTTATGCGTTATACAGACACACACACACAGACACACACACACACAGACACACACACACACACACACAGACATCATCGCGAAAATAGTCAAAACGGATTCAGGGGACCTCAAAACGTAAAAATCCGTCGAAAACTCGAGGTCGAAAAAAATCATGATTCCTATACTTTCCTTATATCTGTATACAGATAGGAAAGTAAAAATCTGTTAACTGTATTTTATTTTACTCTTAAAACTATATATTGGTTCAATTAAAAAAATATATTGCCACAAAATTGTACTAATCAATATCAGCAATTAAGAAACCTTTTCGAATTTGGTCATACATAACTAATTTGTATTTTATACAGATAAAATTAAATAATTTATCAAAACATACAAGACTTATTTAGAAATAAATACAACAGTATGTTCTGTGCTTTATTTAGCTATAAACAAGTTTATTTTTATTATTTTGACAAAATTAGGTATAATTCCCTATTTTGAACAACGTATGCAGTACCAGTGCCCATGCAGTTAATTATAAAAGCTCAATTAGCATGTGTTTTTTGGGACCGTATTTTGAGTATGCCGATTCATCTCCTTATCTCTCTTCATAAAAATTCTAAATGTTACTACAGAATAGAGTAGATGTGAGCATTACTAGGACACAAGACCACCTATATTTTATAGATATATCTTAGTTGGGCAGAACAGTACAAACCTTCTTTAATGCACTTCCTAATAATATTCAAATCCCTTTTAGAATGTTCAAAATTCATTAACAACCTAACATTAACACCTCTTTTACATGCCTCTATTAAGGCATCGTAAATTTTTGGTATGCTGATCATCATGTAAGCTACATCTAAAGTTTTTGTTGATGTATTAATAAAATAAATAATAGGTTCATACAAAACATCTAAACAGTTTTCTTCGGTAATGACAGGACGTATTCGCTTTTTATAAGGGGGCCAGCCACTCATTCCTAAGTCAGTATTGTACATAACTACACAATTATGTCTTTGCTTAAAAAGCAATTCCTGGTTAAATTTCTCTTTTAGTCTTTTATATTTTATATAACATGGAATAATTGTTACTATGGCTAGAAAAAAGAGAGAAACCTTTTGTAACATAACTTTGCTTTATTTTCGATTTGAAATTGAAACTGAAACACTTTTTATTTTTCTATGCTGAAACATTTTTTGCGTTTTAGGTTTTACCTAGTTTTACCCCATTTTTACCCTCTGGTTTTACTGAGGTTAGGATTCATCCAGTATTGCCAACACTCCGTTTCGCATTTACAACAAATGAATAATAAATAAATAATACCAGACCAGCCCATGTCCCCATGCCCCCATGGTTATATCCGGTTATATCTGTGATGGTAATTTTCGAAAAGTAAACTGTAAGGTCTGATCGTAAGTGCAAAAAAAGTAAGTGATCTGTGGTGTAAAATGAATGAAAGTAAAAGAAATAATCCAAATATTAATGAGCCATCTCCAGAAAATACTTCAATTTCCATCGGGGGTCCCGCTAAAAAAACATCACTAAAATCAAAAATCCAGTTAGATTTGGTCTACAATAGTTATTTACAAGCACTTTTAAAACAAGAAATAGTGGAGAAGGAAATAAAGAAACAAGAGAAAGTGCTCAATGGACAAATTTTATTGCAAGAGGAAAATGTAGCACAAATGAAAGAACGTTATAATCAGATTAAAAAAGAGACTGATCTATTAATAAAAAAGGAAGAGATTGTTAAAATGATTAACACCTTAGAAGAAAATATAAATAAAATAAAGGGTCTTTATACAAATTATCAAACACAAGAACATGTAGAAACTGTCCATGGCGCTTTAACATATATAAGTGGCACTTTAGTTTTAAAAAATATAAAATCATTAGAGAATAAAGATCAAGAAAAATTGGTAGACTCTGTTAAAAAACTTACTTTGGCAACTGAAAAAGTTGTTAATTGTGGAAGAGATTTTGAAGGTGTTCACAAGTTGGCTGAAGATTGTAGAAATTTAATCCAAATTGTTAAAAAAATTAAAGAATCTCAAGTTGTGCTATCTACTATGGAGGAAGATGCTGAGCTGACAGTTTTACAGAAGTTATCTGATGAATTCGCTAAGCAATATGAAAATGTTGAATAAAAGACTTAAAATGTGTATATATGGATAGTTATTGTTTGATAAACCTGCAGTGCAGTTTACGTCGCCGCCTGTTGTACATACATCTGCATACTTGCATCATTAATTTTATCTTGAAATTTTAAGGGCAAGGAAAAAATATGTCAAAATATTTTATTATTTATTTTTGTTCATTTTCAAAATTTTTCCTTGCCCTCGAAATTATAATTCGTTATTCCTGTGAATACAAGGCCCACAGCAGGATTACTGTATGATTTTATTTTTGTTCTCGTTTTAAATTATTTTTTTTTATTATCTGATTAAATGTTTGTTAAATATAAAATAATTAAAAATATTCCACTTAAAATAGGTATTTTATTAGCATTTTTAGCAAACTAACAGGTATGTATCATGCAACAATGATAAGGAAGATTTTCAGTCAATGTTTAAATTGTGCATAATAAGAAAATAAAAATAAAGTTTCTAAATTAGAATATTAAACTTGTTGATTAGGGTTCGGTTCTTGGGATTAGGGCAGTTTGGGTGGAGATATTGAGATCAAACTTGGTATATTGATGAATTTTACCATAAATATGAAAATTGCAGGTGTATTATAAAATATGCTACAAATGAGATTTTTTATCTCTACTGTAACAATTTTTAAATGCCAACCCCCACATCCGAACCATGATAGATCGTTCAGGTCCAAACAAAAAAAATGTCAAAAAATTGAAATTTTGGGTTTGTATTTAAATAAAAACTTAAGATTCCAGCTTTTTCATTTAAAAAATTCAACTTAATTTTTTGAGGATGCAAACTAATCTCAGCACAATATCTCAGAAATTTGTGTTGAATAGACAAATATTTATTTATACATTGTTCAACAGGTTAAACCCAATTACAGAACAGGAGTACATTTGAAAGAAAACAGTTTAACAAAAAGCATATAGATAATTAATCTAAAATTACAGTAAATAAATTCTAAATTATTTTAAACAATGTGTTTTTATGTTTTTAACACTGCAATTAAATATATCCAACTGTTCACTAATATTATTATAATTATTACACATGTTATATACAGGTGAAAACTTCAGAACGTTTGTCCGAGGAGTGTCGCTATGTAAAATGATTCAGTGTTTCGAGAGGTTGCGCGTGGGATTCTAAAATTAAGCATATGTAAAAGAGCTTCACAATTGATTTTAAAATTAACAACTTTGTAGCCTCGAGCATATATATTATTGAAATATATATGCTCGAAGCTTTGTAGAGGGTAATTATGGATAAGTACTTTCGTCTTACGTCGAGACTTGTCAATCTGTGTCTATAGTCAGTAAAGCATTTTGAGTAATACCAATCGGTGGATAAATTTGGTCTGCCCGAAAACTTAAGTATTTGAGGAAACGCCTTTGTGTGGATTCTATCCGACAAATGTGTATTTGATAATAAGGATCCCAAATAAACGAGGCATATTCGAGTTTAGATCGAACAAATGAGAAATACAATGATTTAATAGTATCTGTGTTTTTAAAATCACGGCCCACTCGTACTATGAATCCATACATACGATTTGCAGCTGTTGAGATGTTATCTATGTGGTATTTAAACGACAATACTGGGTCAAATGTAACCCCTAAATCCATAAAATTGTTGGGTTTAGAAAGCAAACGTCCATCAAGGACATAATCGAATATAATTGGATGCGCTTTTAATGTGTATGACATTACGTTACATTTGACGGGATTCAGTGTAAGACCATTTTTGTTGCACCATTCAACAACTTTGTTCAAATTTTCCGACAACTGTTCACAGTCAGAAATATTTTCAATAGCTGAATATATTTTTAAGTCATCAGCATACAGCAAATAATCAACATTTATAGCGTCACCAATGTCGTTGATAAAAATATTAAATAACAGCGGACCCAAATTTGAACCTTGCGGTATACCAGAGGTGGCGCAATATTTGTTAGACTTGAATCCATTTAATTGAACATATTGTGTTCTTTGAGAGAGATACGATTGAAAAAGTGTGATCAAACTATTAGAAAGACCAAATGCGCAGAGTTTCTGTATCATAATATTTATATAATCAAGTCTATCAAATGCTTTTGTCATATCCGTATAGATGACGTCAGTTTGGACCCGATTATCAATATTTTCAGCTATTTGCTGTGTGATCACAGAAAGATTTGTTACTGTGGAACGCCCTTTAACAAAACCATGTTGCTGAGCTGAGATTGCGTTACAAACATGTTGATAAATACTACGTTCCAGTAATATTTCTAGAATTTTGCCGAAATTGCAAATGATAGAAATCGGCCTATAATTTTTGATATCAGTACGTTCACCTTTTTTAAAAATTGGGCAGACTTTAGAACATTTCCACATCGAAGGAATTGTATTGGATTTAAGGCAGATATTTATCAAAATAGTTAGAGGGCGAGCTAATACTGCTGAACAATCTTTTAAAATGAACGCAGGAATATGATCCGGTCCTGTGGTACGTTTAGGTTTAATGTTTTTTAAAGCATCCTGGACCTGGGTTTCAGAAAAATGAGTTATATGAAGCTGAGATGGCTGGACGTCCTTTAATGATATGTTTGAACCCTTGGAAGCGACATAAGATTGTCCAAAATATTCCGCAAAGCTTTCTACTATTTCTGTTGGATTATTTAATGATTTATTTTCAAAACTCATGGTGCTTGCAACTTTACCTTGGCATATTGTTTATTATTAACGTATGCCCAAAATTTATTTGAATTTGCTGAGATTTCAGATTCAAGATTTGCTATGTAATTTTTATAAGCTTCAGATACACAAGTTTTAATTTCAGCTCTAATGAGCTTAAATTCTTGAAGAGCTTGTATATTATTCTCATTCTGATATAAGCGATGAAGTTTAGACTTTTTCCGAAGTTTCTTAATAATAGAACCATTAAACCACGGAGGATATTTTCTTTTATTACTTACAGTATATTTAGGTATACACTGATCTAGTATATTGTATAATTTACCATAAAAGTACGTGCAGGCATCTTCAACATCATAGAAAACCTCCAAAAAATCCCAATTCACAGTAGATAACATTTCATACAAGAGTGGAAAATTTGCTTTACGAAAATTGTAGCAATTCGTGTAAGAGGATTCAAGATTTTTCTTATATTGCTTTTTTTCGTTTATTCTACAAGTAATTTCTAAAGCCGGATGATATTTATCTTCTTCTACCAAAGGTTCTAAAGATTTTTCAACCAAACAGAAATGTTTATAATACATCAAGTCTAAGAGCTTATTGTAATCATTGAATACAAAGTTATGTTGAGTCAAATCTAGAACGTCGGCAAAATTATTTAAGCTATTTAATTTAAGATTAGTTTGAATGTTAGATACATAATCAGGTATGTTAAAATCACCTATCATTATAAATTTACAATCATGTAAAAAATCTAATGTCTCCAGAGAATCAAACAATTGTTCGTATTCACCAAGTGGGGTTTTTGGTGGGATATACAGGTTATATATATATATATATCTTAATATATTACAGTTAACGAAGCCATAGCCGGTATTCTCGGGCCATAGTGTGAATGCCAAAATTTAATGGTTTGATTAGACTTTGCATCATATTCGTTTGAGAGCTCTTCAAAATTGTCAAATAAATGGTCAAAAATGCTGCCTCATTTCAACTAAGACTCAAAAGTCGAGGGCTATAGCAAAATTGGAAGAAAATTGATCTTTAAGTGAAGGGGCTGCTGAATTAAATGTAAGTAAATGTTGCATATTTTACGAGATGGAGTTACATCCATATACCAAGATTGGTCTCAATATATTGATCTGAACTACCCTTAGGCCCAACCAACATGTCTATTAAAATAAATTAATTATGTACTAGTTTGCTTTGCTATAATATCCAAGAAAAAAGTTTCTGTGAAACAATGCAAAATGAAAACATCCTTTGATAGCACAGAGAATTTCAGAAATAACAATATTTACTTAGTTTTATTTAAATTATCAAAAATATAGAAACGCCAATTTTATTTTGGTTAAATTTGTTGAAAATTTTATATTTTAATTATTAATGCTCCATCTCAAGTAATATTACTAAAAAGAATTATATATGGTAATATTTATATTTCAGATATTTTCAAATTAGCAAAAAATAAAATGCAATTAACTATTTAACACATCGAACTGTTTAAAAAATCTGATGTGTCCAACACAAATGACTTTCCTATCTAGTTATTATTCGCTCCGTGCGCGACAGCAGCGCGAATTCGTTTTGGTACTAATGCTCTATTTCTGCGTATACTGACAAATGCAATTTTTATTATAATTCGTAATTAAAAAGTATATATGTTAGTTTTAATAAGAGTATATGGATTTGTAAAACAAGTAAAACAACAATTTTTTATTATTATATATTTTTATCGCTTAAATTAAAGAAAATTATGTATAATCAATAAAAATCAATAATAAAATAAAGACAGGCAACAGTATTTACTGGAAAATGTATGAGAAGTTGCCTAAGTTTAATAAGTTGTCATTAAAGAATGACTATTCTGTCAAAATCTCAGAAGTCAAAATTTAAAAAAAAAACATTTAATACTAGCCTAAAGTTAATATGTATAAAAAAAGGATCGTTATTTATATTTTCATTTTTGTTCGAACGAAAATATAGAATGAATGATTAAAACTGGTTTCCCATCAGTAAGTCACAAAATTGCATTCCAGCCACATTATAATAAAGGCAGAAATAGTGAAATCTAGTCCTAACTGAATGAACATTTAAGAATAAAGGGATATTAAAGAACATCGTAAAATGATAATTTATTGTTTATTTAAAACCTTCCAAGTTTCTGATGTCTACTATTTCCAGCATTACTGTTATTATTACAAAAATAAAGGTAATTTTTCTTCTTATTGTACACCTATCCATTTATTTCTTTGATTTAATTTCCACTTTGCTACTGAAATTTTTTGTATAAGTTTCACTCTTTTTTTGCTAGTATTTGTACAATTTTCAACACAGCAACTCCGGTTGCTTATTGTATTGTTTTTACCTACTTTTTTGAAAAAAAAAAAAAATGTATACGTGTATTTGATATGCCAAAATTACAGTACCTTTCCACAATCATACGGATGAGAACTGGCCATTGTCTAACCCCATATCACTTATTTCGAATTGGTATTAAAGATGACCCATTTTGCGAGTGTGGAGAAGTTGGATCGTTAAATCACATCATCTTAGAGTGTCCCATTAATAAATCTACCCTTTTTGATGTGTATTTGGAACTAACGAAGGCTGGTTTTTATCAGCCCCATTTGATATTCGATACATCTTGTCTCATTTGGATGATAGAAGAATAA